TAGACCAAGTCTCCTCTATCTGAGCCTGGAGCCTAATTCACCCCTTTTCTTCCACATTTCGCTTCCCTAGACCTGGGGGCCCCTGAGTCCCAGAATGGGCTTTCTAATTCTGCTTGTTTTTGTCTTTCAGCTGCTGGCATATCCCCAGAGCAGGTGAGAGTCCCCAGTGTCAGACCAGAGACACCAGACAGCTCCTTTCTCCTCCTTCCTCGTTTCCATCTCCCACGAGTACCGAAGTTCACATGTACCAGACAGACCCATGTGCCCAAGTGTCCATATACTCACGGCCTTGCTACATGGCCTGGGAAGATGGAGGGGGGTAGGGGGATGCTGGAAGCAGCCAGAAGGGAGGAAGGCAGAGAGGGGGCAGACACGGGAGACTGAGAGGTGGGAGTGGCAGAGGAAGCTGAGGGGGGCCCAGGAAGGCAGAGGCCGCGTGTTCTTCTGCAGAAGAGGCACCTGAGATATCTGTCCTAGGTGCTCCAGCCCCTGGAGAGCGACCTCTGCTATGCCAACCTGACTCTGCAGCAGACTGGAACCACCCCCAGCTCCTCCAGGAAGAAGACTTCCACGAAGCTCTGCCCTTCTGCCCAGGAGGACAAGGCGGAAGTGGAATACATCACCATGGTGTGTGCTTGGTGGGGATACCGTGGGGCTCAGAGCCAGTCCCGCCCTTGTCCCTTGTCCCGCCCATGTGGGCACAGAGGTGGGGTGGGTGCCGGGCAAAGTCGCACCCATTGGAAGACTTGCCTGCTGAGTTTCCCCAGGTTTTTGGTCTTTGGAAGTGTCTCTGAACCAGGTCTCAGCACTGGGGACTCAGAGCCTAGTCAAACACGGTCGTCGGGCTGGGCAGGGGAGACCCAGACGGGCTGATGACCTGGGACTTCACGCAGAGTATGCTGCCTGGCATGGAGTCGAGGGAAAGTGTCTTCTGCTGTGGCTGGAGGTTATGTGCCTGGCAGGCGGAGGGAGGGGAGTTGGAGGGCCTGATAATAGACTTCAGATGCCCTGAGGAGTCTGCCCCCAGCCTCATGAGTCCTCCTCCATCTGTAGGCACAGCCTCCTGCCAGCCTTCCTGACCCAAGCGTACCATTTTTGCAGGCTTCCTTACCAAAAGAGGACATTTCCTATGCGGCTTTGTCTTTGGACACCCCAGATCAGGAGTTGATCTACAGCAACATGGACGGCCTCATCACCCACCGTCACTGCGGGAGCCACGAGGAAACCACGGAATACAGCACCATCATGAAGCCTTAGCCTACACTAAAGACCCCGTCCTCAACCCCACGCGAGGCATGTCAGCACGTTCCTGCCTCGTCTGCTTTCTGCTCCCAGTCCCCTCATGGGGACCTACCGGTGACTGAGGCCTCTGCCTGACGCAGTCGGCATCACCCTCAGGTCTGACCTGGGTTCCAGGTCTGGTCCCAGGGGGCTTCTGGGAGATGGACAGGGGTCTTTCCACATCCCTTCTTCTCCTACACAGCTTGGGAGAGGGGTACGATTATGCTCTGAAGCTGCCAAAGAGGAATAATGATGATAACGGCGACGGTAGTCACGAATCTTTATTTATTGCTTACCATGTGTGGTAGGCTGAATAATGTCCCCCAAAGATATCTGCGTGCTAGTCTCCAGAACCTGTGAGCATTGCCTTGTATGGCAAAGGGGCTCGGCAGATGTAACGAAGTTGAAGACTCTGAGACGAGGACATTGTTCTGGACTGTCCAGGCCGGCCCTAAATGTAATCGCAAGGATCCTTATAAGAGGGAGGTGAGAAGGTCCCAAGAGAAGAAGGCGATGTGACGTGGCAAACAGAGGATGGAGCGATGCAGCCAGGAGCCAAGGAATACCGCGGCCTCTGGAAGCTGCAAAAGGCAGGGACCAGACCTTCTCCTGGAGCCTCCAGAAGGAGCTGGCCCTGCGGCCTTTAGCCCAATGAATCTGATTTCCTACTTCTGGCCTCTAGACTTGTAAGAGAATAAATCTGTTTTTTTTTTTTATTAAGCCACTGCATTTGTGGTAATTTGTTACAGCAGCAGCAGGAAGCGCATACGCTCTGTGGCAGGGCCTCTTCCGTACGGTAACTAAGGTAATCCTTGCTGTAGCCTCTTCCGTACGGTAACTAAGGTAATCCTTGCTGTAGCCTCTTCCGTACGGTAACTAAGGTAATCCTTGCTGCAGCCTCTTCCGTACGGTAACTAAATTAATCCTTGCTGCAGCCCCACGAGGGCACTGCTATTACTGCCCCATTTTACAGATGAGGAATCGAGGCGTAGAGAGGTTTAATGACTCTCCAAGGGTTTCACCAGCGAGTGGATGAGTTGGAATTTTGGCTCTAGAATCTGGAGTCTGGGCCACCACCCGCGTCTAATGATAGCGTGCGTGTGTGAGTGTGTACACACACTCACAGGGATAGTTAGTGAATATTGACAAACTCTGGACACATCGCCTTTATTCTAGAGCCCTGGCAGTCCTCCCTCTAGAATATGTCCCAAATCCCCTGACGGTCAAGTTCTCTTCTTGGTTACCAGCCCAGCCCCAGCAACCACCCCTGGCTGGAGTCCGCCCTTTGATCTCTGGCCCCAAGTTGATTCTCCTCCCAGCAGTCAGAGCGATCTTTTAAAAGCACAGACCTGCTCACTCCCTTCTGGTGGCTTGTCCCACAGCCCGCGAGACTCTGGGACCCCCCAGCTCCCCGCCCGCCTCTTTGACCCGGTCTCTGGTGAGGATGAACTCTCCCTCTCGCTCTGCTTCGTCTGCACCAGCCTTTCCGCTGTCCTTCTAAGAAAACAAGGCTTGCTCTCTTCTCAGGGCATGGGCACTTGCTCTTCCTCCTTTCCGGAATGTTCTTGCAGACATATGAATAGTTAGCCACTTTTTTATCCTCACATCTCAGCTTCGATGTCCCCTCTCAGAGCGGCCTTCCCTGACTACCGTGAAAGCGGCAGCCTCCAATGTCTCTCTGCCACGTCGCTCTGCTTTACTTCCTACGTTGCATTTACTACTTTACGAACTTACTTGCTGCTATGTGGGTTTGCCGTGTCCCTCTCTCCGCTAAGCTGTTGGCTGCCTGAAGGTGGGGACTTTGTCTCATTCACTGATGTATCCCCTGTGCCTAGATTCATGTCTGGTACGCGGTGGGGTCCTTGGATGTTTATTGACCAAATGAATAAATTACACAGATCGTTCAGGCTTGGAACTCAAGGCAAACTCTCAGGAGCAGAGACCCCTGTGCCCATCATTCTAGGAAGGGGGTCCTGGGCCACCCCGGCAACCTGAGGCATTTCAGGACCGACTTCCCGGAAGTGTGACGTGAAGAGACTTCTTTCTCTCCTCCTGAAAGAAGGAAGAGGTGAGGAGCCATGATCCCCCTGACTGGAGGACAAAGGTCTATTATTACCTTCCTTAGGTCTCTTTGGCGAGGGCTAGAATGAAGTGTCAGGGAAAGAAGTCATACGTGGCTTGGGACGAAATGACCTACGACTGGGCCATAGGCAAATGTCCTAGCATGTGCAGTGGCCAAAGAGTGTTTGATGGGCCATTATCAGTGTGTCCTGGGGGTTGCTCGACTTCTCACAGCTACGGACACCCCAAGTGTCTGAAGGAGGTGGCCTTGGTGCATGCCCATCCCAGCATGTGCTGCTCTTTGCTTCTGCTCCTGATCCCTGAATAATTCCTTAGAATCTTAGAGCTTTGCCATCCTGGGGAATTTATAGAGTGCAAACAAGCTTAAATATTCTCAGGCTGGTTACTTATGCTGGCTGGGTCAGAGTGAGACTGTTTTGAAGATTTACAGAACAAGAAGTGCCTACAGAGTGATCTTTAAATGGAAAAGCTCAAAGTGGAGCAAAATTCGAGTGACTCAAAGTATAAAATAAAAGTCAGAATAAAAATCTCTAGGCCAGGGCATCACTGAACCGTTTTTACTATTGTGTATCAAGGGGCTTTATTGCTGAGTTTTAAGTAGCCAGCATTAAACAGAATCTGCAAGTTCGTGGCTATGTTGGATAGTAAGGAATTCATCTTTTCTGGTAATCAGATACTAGTGAAGATTACTGCTGTGAAACTTAATACATAAATCAGGAAACACAGGGAAGACTAGGATTTAGATCAGTTTGGTTTGGCTGGAGGAGTCTGGTTGCTTCTGCCTTTATCTAGATGATAGATAGGAGCTAGAAATGGAAGGTTCTGGCAGCCTGGCTGAGCCGAGGAAAGACAAATGAACTTAGAAAGACAGACACCCTCTGATCACTTTTAAATGCTTTAGTCAAGTGTTCAAAAAAGTGTCTACTAGGTTATATCACTGGATATAATATTTTATTTTATAATATAATATTTTAATCCAGAATATCACTGGATATAATATTTTATTTTATTTTATTTTATTTTATAATATAATATTTTAATCCAGAATCTCGGCCATCGGGATTTGCGGCTGCTTGAAAAGGGATGTTTTCATGTCCTCAGAGATGACGCTGACATTTGTAAAAACCCGTCCAGTCCATTCTATAGCTGGACAGAGCAGATTTCTGGCCGGTGGGCCTCACGGGACGCATCCAGGTTGTTTAGGGTTTGGGTCCTGACTGCAGGCACCTACCTTGAAGCCAGCTCTGTTTGTTCAAGCCTGAGATAGAGCTCAGGGAGTGCTGGGGAAGTGGTCAGGGCGGGGAAGGGAGGCAAACATATGCAAGGGGTTTGAAAGGAAGTTGTTTCACAATGTTTATAGATTGGTATCTCAATGTTGTCTCAGCCATATCCGGCTGTTCCATAAATACTTTGCTAAGGTAGATTTTGGGTGCTGGACTAGCACCTTTATTTCAAGAGAGAGAAACGTAAGACATGGCTGGGTGAGGGGCACATTTACCATTTTCTGTATGGTTTCCAGCAAAGCGTACTCAGTAAAGACAAACTCCAGAATATTTACTCACTCAATTCTGATCGAGTGTCTGATTATTTACAGCCTGTCTAAAGTTGCTGGGGTTCCCCAACTCTGGCTTTTGAATTATTAATATTTAACGACTCCATTTAATAAAAATTGTAGGGTCTGGACAGTCTCCTTTTGAGAACTATGTGCATATTAATGGCTTTCAGAAGACCGAGACTTTTTGAGAGTTAGTCGAGGGAGGCAAATATACTGGGCTGGTAACCTTCGAAACGTATGATTTAGATAAATATTGATTGAAGTAAAGCTAACGACTACCTTTGCCCGACATCTTACCAAAGGAGTTCATGGCCACTTAGTCCCCGAAGGGACGGACTGCAGGAATCAGTTGATTTCATGTATCAATAACTTTTTAGACTGGGAGGGACTGACATAGCGGTCAGTTTTTGATTTTACCAAGTAAGCGTACTCTTATCTAACATAATGGGAATTGATCGTTGGCCAGTTTGGTTCATTGAAAAAAGCTGGTTAAAACAGGGAATTGTAAAAGAGATATATTCTTTCTCTAAATGCTTTATTTTGACTCAGAATATCTAAATCTATAGCAGTTTGCTAGTATTTTGGTGTAGACCTAAGCCTTTTTTTCTTTTCGTCTTTCTTTCTTTCTTTCTTTCTTTCTTTCTTTCTTTCTTTCTTTCTTTCTTTCTTTCTTTCTTTCTTTCTTTCTTTCTTTCTTTCTTTCTTTCTTTCTTTCTT